CGCTAATTGGATCATACTTTTAGATCTAGAAGAATGGTCCTATCTCAGCAGACAATCATAAAACGGTTGCAAAACTGTTGAGTCTGCTGAACGCAGCCAATGCTTTCGTTCATATTAATACGGCAAGTTAGTATGAACGAAAGCATTGAAATCCTATGGTTGAACTTTACCGGCACCGGCATAAATTAACAGTTACAGCCATTATAAATCAGGCTTTAGGCTGCCTTCCCATGGAGAAAGAAACCACGAAATGGAATATTGACAGAAAAAAGATAGGATATGAGGATAATCCGGAATGGATTCCGGTCGGAATTCATTCCGACTTTGTTCCATGACCCTAAAGCCCATGGCACATACAAAAACGTAAGGCCGTAATACGTAAGCAGTAATGCGGGGTCTACAATAGAAGTCGTAGCAGTCGTAGGGTCTTAAGTCGTAGAAAATTGACTAATCACAGTCGAATATGAGAAGAATAATCAACTGTGATTGGTCAATTTTCTACGACTTAAGACCCTATGACTGCTAAGACTTCTATTGTAGACCCCGCATTAAGAAATCGTAAAGCCCATGGCACATACAAAAACGTAAGGCCGTAATACGTAAGCAGTAAAGAAATCGTAATGCGGGGTCTACAATGGCTGCGTTCAGCAGACTCAACAGTTTTGCAACAGTTTTATGATTGTCTGCTGAGATAGGACCATTCTTCTAGATCTAAAAATATGATCCAATTAGTGCGAAGGAAACTTACAACAGTTGCAAAACAAACGTTCTGCTGAACGCAACCAATAGAAGTCGTAGCAGTCGTAAGGTCTTAAGTCGTAGAAAATTGACCAATCACAGTCGAATATGAGAAGAATAATCAATTGTGATTGGTCAATTTTCTACGACTTAAGACCCTACGACCGCTACGACTTCTATTGTAGACCTCGCATAAGATTGGATTCGCTACTGGCCTTACGGTCTCTATCGTGATTGGCCAATTCGCTTACTGATTATGTCTTACGGCCTTACGTTTTTGTATGTGCCATGGGCTTAAAAGGTTACTGGTTCCAATTGGTTCATGCCAACTGTTACACAGTGATAAAATGCACCTGAAGAGTGCGCTGGTGGTGCAATATTCTCACTTTAGCTTGAATAATTCTTCTCACTTCTTAAATTTCTTTCTGATGCGAGTGAGAGAGAGAGAGTGTATTTTGAGAAATGTAAAACACATAACCTGAAACAAATAGTAATATTTGTCATATCTGATAACAAGAAGAAGCAAATTAATATATAGGCATGAAAGAGTTTTTTTTCTCTTACACTTATGTACGATTTCCTAATATCTCTTAGAATTTATTTAGAACCTTTATTAGTGTATGTTCGGAACGTAGGTTATATTTGACATGGAGTTTTTATATTTTTTTATAGTGTAATAAGTCATTTGTCTTTACTCAGAGATATTGTAATTGCCCCTATATCTCATTACGTGAATTCTCTTATTGGGAAACATTCCTTTCTAAATAATTATTGTGCTACCATTCGGCCATAATGTTGCAAAAAATACATAGGTTACTACAGATCACGGTGAGTATTTTATAAGTACAAAAATATATCCAACGCAAAAAAAAAAAATGATTCTTTCGAAATAATCTCTTTGTGAAAATTGACAAATTAAATTAGCTTTCTTTCTTTAACAGGCTTATGGACACAAAGTAAGCAGTAGATATTTAAACTTTGTTCCAATTGTAGTGGAACAAAGTGGACGTGGTGAACGTGCATATGACATTTATTCGCGTCTCCTGAAAGAAAGGATTATTTGTCTTATGGGTCCAGTACGATACATAAGTTTTTTATTATTATATTTACACATTAATTTATAATTTTATAGAAATAAATTCAATCATCTTTGTAGGTCACAGATGTTGTAGCTTCTGCAGTAATTGCTCAACTTCTTTTTCTTCAGTCAGAAAGCAGTAAAAATCCGATTCACTTATATATTAATTCACCTGGTGGGAGCGTAACGGCAGGACTTGGAATATATGACACTATGCAATATGTTCTTCCACCTATTTCAACATGGTGTGTAGGTCAAGCATGTTCTATGGCAAGTCTACTTTTAGCAGCTGGAACCAAAGGCATGCGTCATTCTTTACCAAATGCTAGAATCATGATACATCAACCATCAGGAGGTGTACAAGGACAAGCTACAGATATTCAGATACAAGCTACAGAAATCCTTAAACTGAAACAACAGATCAATGAACTATATGTGAAACATACTGGACAGAATTTAGAAGAAATAGGTATGCCTTCCATATCATATCTAGGCTTTACCATATAAAATTTCATAAAAATCATGTTGCAGCAAAGAGTATGGAGAGAGATAATTTTATGAGTCCAACACAAGCTAAAGAGTTTGGAATTATAGATAAAGTATTGGCCCATCCTATGCAAGAAGAAACTGCAGAGACAGCAATGGAGAAAACGGACAATGTATTGAAAAAACCTTAGTACTATTGAATAGGATGGGTACATGGGTTCCATTTTATTGGTATGTTGTAATAAATTCATTAAAAAGATGTATCATTATTTAATAATCATAAACTATTTATAAAACAATTATAAATTGTATCCTATTCAACTGAAAATGATATATTCACTTTCAAATTGGCATATATAAAACATACTAATTTATAACAGCAATATGAATGAGTATTAAAATGATATATTTCTTCAGAGTATATCTTCAAACAAGCATGATATAAAAGCAAATGTCCAACTTGCAAAATATTAGGTAAAAAAAACTTTCCACCCAATGGATATCATGGTATGCTAATAGTTTGTTTCTGTTTTATATCTCATAATGCAAGTTATTTAAAATTTATATTTTTAGCGTTCTTATAAATCATAAAAATGAATTATATATATTGCCCTGTTTGTATGATTGTTATCTTAAAATTTTTTTATCTTAAAAATGCTTTTAATTTATAATTTATAGTTATTACATATTGTGAATATCACACGCGCGCGTACACATTTCATACCCTTTTTCAATTCCAAATACATTGCAAAATTATATCTGTCGATCTTATTGAATTATACTCTGATGATTAAGCAGAAATCTTACGAAATATAGATAATGGAAGACAAAGCCTTGCGTCCCAAAATATATACACATACAAGTAAAATGTAATATGTAAAAATGCGAGTGTTCTATATCGTGTGCACACACGATATATCTTAATAATTCTTAATGATGACATTCATATATACTTAGTATTTCTATATAATCAAAATATCCCATTTAAGATCTATTATCACCAGAAATGCTTTATAAAAAAAAAGCTCTATGAAAAGATAGGCTTTATAAAAAGGACGGAAGTTTTCGTTGCCATAAAGTTAAGCCCTAAAAAGAATTAAGTAAAACGGTCTTTACAAAATAATCTTTAAAAAAAACTATTTTTTTTGTCTTTTTTTCAAAACTTATTCCTTGCAAAAGACCAGTCTTGTACATTATTTATTTTAGTGACATTCACGTTAGAATTCACTGCGGACAAACCTGTGCATGTGCGAGCATTAGTATATCTTTCTTTTCTTTTGGAAATCTAAGTTCTCGTCCTGCTAATCGCGCAGTTTCAAGTTCACGCTCGGCTAAAGCCAATTCCATTGCCACGATCCCACCACCACTTTCGTGTTCTCTAGCCACCCAATCTAATGCCATTTGGCTACGCATATCGTCGTCTAATGCCCGATGACTATAATGCGCGACTACTTCCTGCCTGCTGCACTGCCTCTCTCTCATGGCTTTTAAAGAGCCATTCCAATGAAGCAATTGGAAGACTGTCATTAACTCTTGGAATTCCAACATTGTTCTTCCACGATTGCATTCCAACATAAAACGGAACGCACCTATACCTGTGTTTGGATCTTCTTTCTCATCACCACTTCCCTGAAAGCATATGCATTTAAACATTGTTTCTAATTTAATGTAATAAATAACTTTTCAGATTTTATTTACTTGTGCTTGACTACCAACTCCGTTGGACGTTGCTGAAGGTTTGGCAAAACTAGCCCTTGCCTCTGCGACAGCTTTTTCAATAAAATCATCAGTAATCTTTCGCGATGGATGTTCATTAAATACAGAATTCATCAGTGCAATTTTTGCAGCCGATCTACGTGCTTCCGCCTTTGTGGGACAGTTTTGAAAACTCCCGAAACACGATCCTCCAGGAAGCGTTACATAACAAACGTAAGGTGGATTGGCACCAGGAACAGATTCATAAATAACTAATGCACCATTTCTCAATTCTGTTCCTCTAGCTTGTTTCATCTGCCAAAATTCTTGCAATGCTTCTACGACATTTACTGTATATATATAAGAAAAAATGTGTGTACATACAAAAGTAAACAAAATTATAAATGTGGTTAAATGGCTAATAAAATTAAGCTAATAATAAGAAATATTTCTTTATAATATACCTCTGCCATAACCTTGACTGTGTTTTGCAAAGCTATTAACAACTGCATCTACGGCCTCTCTTAAAACTTGTTTGGCACGGGCATCCACCAGTCCACCAGTGACCCCCATATTTTCAGTAACACGTGATTTTGTCTTAACTGGCATCATGCCCTGCATTACTCAGAAACTTGCATTTATTTACTCTGCAAAAATATAGCATCTCTTTAGTGTTATTTCTAATCTCCGAATCACAATAGTAAACATAAGTGCTTTCAGAATTTTTGATATTTTATTTTATAGAATATTACTCGATGTTGCATGCACAAGTGTAGAAATTATTTTAAAATTTATAATAAATGGAGCATGTGTTAATCAAGCTACATACGAATTCGTGATTAACGAAAACAAGATTTTTTTTCTTTTACAAATTCACCGACACCGTCCACCGTTGACACTCGCACTCACGATCGAGATTAGGTCAGCGTTCGCGCCGTCGATCACGATCGCGACGACGATCACGACCACGCGTTGACGCAATACGTCTCGTTTACTTTGATTTACTCACCGAAGAATTGGCAAGGCAACGCCGTGAACACCGTCTTCCTGATGACCGTCGACCGTCGACCGTCGACGTTCGGCTCGACGAGTGTCGGATGCTGCGCGACAACGGGAGCGGATGGGAGAGACAACGGTGGCATCGGGCGTGGGAAGGAACCCAGGAGCATCCAGGAGGTCTGGCCGGACAGAGACCCGGATGCCCAGGAATTCGCGCGAGAATAAATTACTCTCCGACCCCGATCAGGGCACTACTGGGCACTGCACAAGTGCACAGTGCACCGAACCTGACCGAACCGAGCGCAACCAGCGCAACCGAGGCCCGAGCGCCGCAGGATCAAATTGCAAGACACATATAACGCGTTTAATGGCCCCGGACCGCTGACGATTTCCAGAAAACTAGGGCCGTGCAACTCGCATGAGCGCCCCGCGCCACCCGAGCACCCCGAGCTCCATCCATTGGATTCCGCAGATTTCGTCCATTGTCAGTTTCGTCCAGTTTCGCTGAGTAGCTGGATTTGTCGTAAATCCAAGATTTCCTAGCTGCGTTATATTTTTCTTTATTACTTTTTTTTACGCAACGCATAAATTATCAATTACATCGTGTCAAGAATTTCTTTCGTTATCAAATAGCGGTAAAGTGTCTTTTCGCACGCGATAATCTTTCTGTATGCGAGCCATTATAGAAAAAATGTCTGTAAAAAATAACTTTTTTTTATTATTCACTTATTATTGGGGAATATAAAGATTATGAGAAAATAACATGCAATCTCAGAGACAATAACATGACGTGCATCTATCTTTAGTGCTTTAAATTAAATGTTTTAACCATCGCACGTATGTTGCGTCAGACGTTATTAATTGCTTGTTCCGATCAATACAAGAAGAAGATATTCTCCTGGAAGTAAAATTGCGAAAAGTCATGTCAATTCTATCTTGTTCCGCTCCTCTCATCATCGGTTTCTCCGCTATTCTCCGAGTAATACATATACATATAGATGTGTGTAGATTATACGCACACTAATGTAGGACTTGCGTGTGTATGTCGGTATGTTCCAAGCGCATTATCGGAGCAACTTGGAGCAACTTGAACAATTTGAAATCTAGACGTCTAGATTTCTCGCGAGACGACTCAGTCACACGTGCGCCATATCGCGATCGCTTTCAGAACATCTAAAGCACCTGTAGGTAAAACAGCAGACATCATAGCACGCTAAATTCAAAAGTGTTTTGTCTTAAGGGGATCCTAAGTCCGGGTCTACAATAGAGTTTTAAGTCTTAAGCCATAAGAAATAAACAAATCATAGTTGATTATTCTCCTCGAATTCGACTGTAATTGGTCAATTTCTTACGACTTAAGGCTTAAAACACTTATTGTAGATCCGGGATAAAGCCGTCTATATTACCGGCTAAATCGTAATTTTTGTATAACAAATACTTTTTTCTCTTTCACAGATTCGAAAATCCTTTTCCAGAATTAAAGTATACACATTAATACGTGTTTGTGAGGTGGAATTTATGCCGAAAACAACAAAAAATTTCGAAATTGAAAAATCTTAAGAAAAATTTTTTATCGTTCTCAGCATAAATTCCACCTCACAAACACGTATTAATGTGTATACTTTAATTCTGGAAAAGGATTTTCGAGAGAGAGAGAGAGAGAGAGAGAGAATCTGTGAAAGAAAAAAAAGTATTTGTTATACAAAAATTACGATTTAGTCGGTAATACAGACGGCTTTACCTCAGATTTACAATAGAGTTTTAAGCTCTAAACCATAAGAAATGGACGAATCATAGTCGATTATTCTCCTCGAATTCAACTGTAATTGGTCAATTTCTTACGACTTAAGGCTTAAAACTCTATTGTAGATCCGGATTTGAGATCCCCTTAGTCCGGATCTACAATAGGTGTTTTAAGCCTTAAGTCGTAAGAAATTGACCAATTGAGGGAATGGACGGAATAAAGGCACAATTCTACTTCGCTACCCTTTTTCTAGCAATTAGCTTTTTCATGTAATATTGATCGTAATAGAAAAGTACTGTAACATGCAGCTTCTTAAAGACATTACATAAATTCATTCGATACTGTACTCATTTGTGTATAATAAAAAAAGTAGCAAGTTATTTTAATTTTTATTAATATCAAAATTTTACAATTAGGCCTTTATTCCACCCATCCCCTTAATTACAGTCGAATTCGAGGAGAATAATCGACTATGATTCGTCCATTTCTTATGGCTTAAGGCTTAAAACTCTATTGTAGATCCGAGGTTAAGGATTAATAAATAATTTAAATTTAAGACGTTTAAGGAACAATAAATAATAAATTTGTTGATACATCTTGGAGGATTATAATAAACGATAAGAAGAAAGCATTACTTTCGCGAATAAATTATAACTTTGTTTATAACACGACGTATTTCTCCTTACAAATATTCCTTTTATTTCATACATCTGTGTCAATCTACGAAAGACAAGATAACTTCTGAATATATATATTGTATTGTGTTTTTCTTATTTATAACTACTATATATTTGTTAAAATAAAAAATGTTGGAGTTTGAATCTTGAAATCATGATACGATGATACAATATACGGTATATGTACTCATATACTGGAACAAAAGTACATAAGTAATTGACGTTCTGTAAAACACAACCTAATACGTAATCCTACAGTCAATTGCTGGATTCACCCTGCATCCGATTTTCGTCATACGAC